CCCCAAAACCCCAAAACCCCAAAACCCCAAAACCCCGCGACTTAATGCAATTATTGAACTCATCTATAAATCTGCCTTATATATTACTTCCAAGAAGTAGGAGCTATAGGAAAGACTCCCATCTGGACTCTTAGGAATATTTCATTAACCCCAAGGTATGAAGTTTAGGTAACCACAAAAGATGTCTATCTCAGTGGCGCTGATAGCCACTCTTCTTCTAAAATCTTAAAATAAAAAAGCTAAGCAGGAGTCCATACTTGAATTTTAAGAAATTTGTCAACTGATTCTGAGGCCTGAGTTTACTCGATGTATTATCTAAGAAATTGGAAATACCACCAGGCTTTTATTGAAGTATCAATACCGATTCTGTCAATATCCTCTTGGCATTTCCTGCTCGAAGCCCATTAGGTATCGTCTAAATTCGACTGTGGATTTCGAGCTTATTTATAACAAGAGAAATCGTGACAAACGCTCTGATTTCAGGCTTTTGAAATTAAGAAAATTTCAAGTAAAAGTCACCTAGATTTGTACGGAAGAAGGCCAAATGTTCTGAGTCAAGACCTAAAACTCTTGAGGTTTAGAAGAAATGGTCTTTTGAGCATCCCCTATTGGTGGCCTGATCCTTTATGCCATTTTTATGAGTTTCAGAACTCGCATAGACTATATCTTGGAATAAATTTACTCCTCTTTGAGATCAGAGATTCATCAATTAAGTTTCATTATTAGTCTTGCAATAATGGAGTAGAGACTTGGAGTAATCAAGATGGCCTTTTGTCGAAGACCAATCTGATTCTTTTCTAATTTAAACACAATAACATATCAAAATTTATTTCCAGATGCTGACAGTCTTACAGGATCTAGAAAATTATTGAAAGTCTTCCTTCTTTCAGAGAAACATCGCATCTCAAACTTATGATAAGTCTGTAGTTATCCAACTTTCAAAGGATACATATTGTGAGCATACTCAGATGCAATATATTTGAAATTATAAGTGGTTTGATCACCTTCTGTTTCTTGATTCTCTATTCTTGCATTGAGTCCCCAGTGGTTATAATTGTCCAAAGAAAAGTTAAAACAACAAATGTTCTAGAAATTTTGGGACCCAGTGAAGAAGAACTTATTTTCAGATTTCTCTTTTATTACATTTTGATATGAACCTTATTAATTCTTGGTATATGGCTATTGCTAGTCTTGTCTGGTCCAATAGAGCACAAAGGTGACTAAAACTTGGCCAAATCTTGAGAATTAGCTAAAAAAGATATGAGGCATCTAGCTTAGGTTTGGGAGTCTCTTGGATAATTACATTCAAGTTATACTAGCTCTCTTGAAGATTTCTATTGATAGGACCTCACCATTTAGTCTCAGAGTAATGGTTTTGACTAGGAGATCAGGTATTTCGGCCTCAGAAGGTGCAGACAAAGTACTTGTATTCATTAAGAATTTGGAGAGTCAAATCGATGAATCTAAAATATTACTAATTTCAAGAAATTTTTGATAATAATTTCCATGAATCCCTCTCTCAAGAGTAAACCTGGATGATACACTGAGTCTAGGGCGTAAACATGGAGGTCATTGCCAAGCTACTTAGTCTCACTAGGTCTCTACAAAGGGAAAGTTTGAGAACTTGGTGCCTCCCACAATCGCATCACCAAAAGGAAGAGTCTTGATGATACGCATTAAAATATCTATGGGAAGTCTTTTTTTAAATGTTTTGGCAATCATGGGAAGTTGGTACTGGAAGAACTAAAACTTTCAGTTCATCATACCATTGTTGTCTATTTATTGTTACATTTTTAGCCAAGCAGGGGTCATCCTAGCCCAAGATGGTAGATGCCTAGTCTTTGCCAACAAGTTTTCTTTTCAGACAGACCGGAATAAAAATGTGACTAAATTAATATTTTCTTGATCTATGACTAAATGTGGCTAAAATTGTCATTACAATAATACATCAAATTCAAAATTTGTCCTTTGAGTCTAGTTTTAATCTTCAGTCTGATACTTTTGAATATTTGAGATGATCAGAAATCATGAAGGTTACATTTCATTCATGAATCACTAAATTTTCATCAAGAATCCTGGCTGGCCTGGTAAATTATCCGATTAATTACTCAGTCTGGCTGTGAAGACTTAGAAGACGAGTCTGATCTCTAGGAGAACCCTAGCCGTGGTATTGGGGTTTTATCACTCTGATATGGCATTACTGCTCTTAAAAACACTTGCTAAGTTTTTCTCTTGTTGGAAAAATTATTAAATTTTGATTCATGAACTATTTTACTAAAAAATAAGTTAACTAGTTTACTAGAGCAGGGCTTTAGCAAGAAACTTAAAGGACATCTCAGAATAAGATAGACTAGCTCTTCCAAGAATATTATGAAGCACTGAAAAGCAGCAAAAGATCCTATCCAATACTTGGGAGGGTTATACTAATCCATTGATGGCTAATTTCTCCATATTGTGCATTCAGAAGTCACTAGACTTGGCAAGCTGGGATATCCTCTAAAACTAATCAGAATATGCACATAATTCATGCAGGAATATTGGCAATGAGTCCATAATGTTTTGACTTCCAGAAGGAAGACCCTCTATATGGTCGTCGAAGATTACTTCATTTTGGGCTGCTGCTTAATAAACTATTCATAGTGCTTGCAAGAAATTTCGAGAAGCAACTCTTTGTTCAAAGTGGAAGAGAATGTCTTCTTATTTATAGTGGGAAGCTCTGATCATTATCCAACTCATAAACTGGCTATAGAAATCCCACATCTTCAGAAAACAGTCCTACTTTAAATGTCTGAGAAGAAGATTTTAAACTGTAGAGGTGAACTCTTGTTGGATGTGGCAGAACTCAGACCAGAGCTGTTGCAGTTCTGGCGTTGTAGGCAAAGAATTTGTTAAATTTTGCACATATTTGACCATCTCTAGTGACGACCAAGTATTCTGATTAAAATTTACTGCTAAAAATATTTCCTAGTAAGAACTCTAAAAGTAAAGAGGGCAGATACTATTTTCTTCAAGTTTAAACTATAAAATTATTTTACAAATGTAGCTAATTACAAACAATTGGGAGACTTATGCAGTTGTCATACCACCAATAATTTGCCTTGAGATAACTTTTTATCACAAATAACTCTTGTTGACCTATGACTTATCAGTTCATTCTAAGGCATCTAGATCTAGAGTAAGCCCAGCTTGTCTCTCTCAGCACCCAAGTCGCTAAGTCGAGAGTTTTATGACTCTCATTTGTTGCTAACTTAGCCTTAAAAAGGGTATCCTAAATATTTTTCTCCAAAAATGCTCTTATTTTCCTCATAGAATTTCCAGAAATAGGCTGACAAATATCAGAAGAATATAGTAAAATGTTTCTCGATATTAGTAGAGTCTAAAAGCTTATTTTACCACTCTCGCTTGCATGCCTGCCAAAGCTAGTCACAGACTTCGTCTGCATGAATTAGTAAACTACTGAAAATTTAAGAACATTAAGTTGGAGGAAGCCTTACTCAAGTTCAGAATCTAAGCCTAGCGAATAACAGTTTTGGTGGAGGGCCTTACTAACCTAGTCAGACTGGATGGTTTGGTTTAAATCTCCCAAGTGTTTGTATGAAGAACAAAATTATAGGAGTCACTATACTTATAAGAAACTGGTTACTATACAATAATAACAACTTGCATGAGAAATTGGAGGAAAGACATCCCATAATTTAATAAAATAATGAAGCCTCAGAGCAAGGCAGCATGCTTCATTAATTTTTATTCAACTGTCCAAGTGGGCAGGTATCTCGATATAAGTCCTAGGCTAGACGGGAAATTTTGCATGAACTTTATTGGAATAATACTCAGAAGATTAAATCATAAGAAACTGCAGGATCAAGAATCACTATTTATTACAAAGAAGAGGGTGGACTAATATTATTAAGAAGACTCACTTATCGATTTAATGACGCCATCAGAGACTGACCATATCTAGTAATGGTTTCTTGTAGTGTTCTTATATAACTTCGTTTAGGTTATTTTATAGTCAAGTGGAATAATGATATCCAGATATTAATAAATAGTGATTCATGGTTCGATTTCAAAGAGGTGGAATCAGAACTTTTGCCAATACAGTGAGGCTCAACTCCAATATTTTTGCATAAATCTAAGCCTTGCTGCTTTATAAGCTTAAATTACCACTCAAATTTTATCCTGGCCTATCAAATTTTCATATTTTTTCTAAAAATAGCTCCTCCATCAACCTTAGTGACATATTAAGTTTCCAAGTTTACTCATGGCATTGTTGTCATAGAGACACTTGCGACCAAAGCTTTGCTTTCAAATGCTCTGCTCATCAGGAAATGAGCTGGAGCAACCTTGCAGATCAACTTCGAAAGATTTCATAAATTGAGTTATGAATTAACAAGAAGATTATAAATATCTAGGTTTACTTTGGACCTCCAGCTAATATTTGCCAAAGTGATATGAACAAGCCGACCAATAGAATTTCTCCAGTGCTTAGCATTAGCTAGGATGAAGTTCATAGTTTTGCTAAAAGAATCTGACAAAGTTCAAAATCTGGCATTTCCAACAACCTACTAATGTTGCCAAAATGGAAACTACAAGTGTAGGTATATCTGGCAATAAGAATTTGGGATGGAATCTCTCCTAAATTATTAGCAGCCTGCTTCGAAGTTGCTTGCCTAGAAGTTAAAGAAGATACAAGAAATTATGTGCACCATAGAAATTTAGTCATAAGATGAAGAATTATTAAAGGTTTTGGAATTTGAGAAACAAATTGAAAATTAGGAATTATTCACAAAAGAAGTTTGAGAATGAACTTTAGAGAAGTATTTAGAGAATCTGATTATAATAATTAGCTTAATTTAGCTCTGAAAGGAGAAGCCTCGAACACTCCTCCATTCTGGTTGAAGCTCTCCATCATTTCCAAGATATCTTCGGCTCTCCATGAAAAGTTGGTAGGAGCCTTTTCGTTGTGTAGCATCAGCGAGTAGAAGTCGAAGGTGATCGCTGCATCGACTTCGAGAGGGTAGCTGCCCACATAAGTCTTCTTTCCTCCAACCACGATCAGGGTCTGATAGTTCACCGAGTTCTTGGTTACTCCTGTGAACCTGGTTCTTCTCTTGCTGACTCTTTTAGTTTTGCAAACATTGGATTTCTTCTTTGCCTGCACAAAAGGAAGGCTTGTTCCTAGTAAGGGGAACAGCTTAGCTTTCAGTTTTTCTTGATGTTTAGAGAAGTCATATGTGTGAATTGTCTTTACTTGCTTCTGATATTTATATTGAGATCTCCCAGAAACAGGCATCATTTGTTGTAATTGGCTCTGGAGTTCACAAAGACAGAAGTCGCTGAAAATATTGAAGATTGGATTCATTTAATTATGATAAAATTCTCTATATTTATATGCTATCTCGGGGTTTTGGGGTTTTGGGGTTTTGGGGTTTTGGGGTTTTGGGG